TAGGGAAAGTCAAGTGAATTTTCCATTCCACTAGATGCCCAAGTTCACCGAAGCACGAACCACATATTGAGAGTTCATTCGTCTGTTGAACCTAGTTGCAGGAAAAAATTATATAAGAGCATTCAGGATATAAAAAAGAAAAATATATAAATGCACACTTATGGAAACACGATTATTGTTAATTACAGCATTTCGTCGAGAAATTCAAAAATCACAGGCGATTCCTTATAATAAAAAGAAAACTTCTAATTCGATTTCCATAACATTTAAATGGAACCAACTCGAGCCATTAAGCTGTTAAATAAAAAGAATTTTCAAAATTGGTGAAAATCAGTGGACATGCTTAAAAAAATGTATTGCCGTCGAACATATAACCTCATTTTCAATTTTAAAGTCCGTTAAATAATCCATACGTACGTAACCTACGCTTAAAAAATAAAGTTACCTTACAGGGAGATAACCACACACTTATAGTAATTCTTTTTATGTACACTTTTATTTAAATTACTTAAGCCTTACTTCGTTGATATTGTTGCAAATATCAAACGTATGTGTTTTATTTTTGAAGATGGAAAAAGTATTATTTTTTTATTTGAAGTCGGTATAAAATGACTCGTTTACACGGAGAAACGGCAGCTTTATCTGTATTTGCTCAACAACTCTTCTCGTCCTCAGTGCAATTGACTCGAGAGCTCGCCACTCTTTATTCAAAGCAGAAAGTGAAAAATATTTGTGTAACCAAAAGGAACCGTGTAATAACTTTAAGGAAGCCTTTATGTAGGATTATAATACTTGGGGTAGGTATAATATGATAACACTTGACGACCACTGTAGCTGAGTGAGTCTCCATCTGGACATCCAGACGGGACCTCACAGTCCCGTTTTCAATTCCCGGTTGGCCAATTTAGAAAATGTTTTGTATTGTTTATGATACGGTCATTGCTTAAGAGCTCCATAATACAAGTGGATCTAGTTTAATAAATATCTAATTCTCTCCGTCGCATGTGTCTGTCTAAACGCGATAAAGTCAAACCCTACCGAACGGATTTTCATGCGGTTCCATTCAATTGACGGAGTGGTTAATGGGGAAGGCATTATTCGTTAAACTTAACTAAGTTGTTATTTATGGGAAATATATTCATCAAGGCTTCAAGTTAACCGAACTATAACGATGATTGTTAAAATAGAACATATAAATTCCATCCATCCAAGGTTTATTAAATTATATGATAAATTCCATCCATTTAGAACTGCTCAAATATTCTGTGTGAATGCGAAATTTAGAATGTTTGTTTGTACGTTAGTTCATCAGCAGTTGAATGTTTGGACATCACATACCATTATTTAATACTTAGGATAGTTTTCCATTGAAAGAATCTTAAGTCCACATAGCAAAGTCACGGAAAACTAGTTGGAAATACTTATATGAATAACTGCTTTCCCGCGGCTTGCATGCGTAAATTATAGCACGTGTGAAATGGTGAAAGGATTAAAAAAAACGGTTCAGTGGTTTCGGAGCCTGTTCTATGCAAACAACAAAATTTTTCCTCTTTATAATATTGGAAGAATACGATTACATATAGTCGATAAATTGATAAATTAACAAAAAAGTTTAATGAAGTCGACTTTTTTTATATATAATTTCAAAATGTTAGTTATTAAAAAATTTCGATTTCATAAAAAATAGATAGAAGATATAGTCACCGTCGGCGATATAAAAAAAAAACTGTAAATCTTTAAAAAATACCTCCAAAAAACTGCGGCTCATGTGTTTCACAGAACACGTATCGCAACAATGGTTCAACTAATCTGAAACTTTCATAAATCTAAAATAAATTTGCCTGCACATATTTCACATTCCGTGGCAACATGTGGATGATACATCAACAGTCGGCGACACCGGATGATAGATGAACCTATAAATAAAAATACGATCAAGGGAGGATTTGCAAGTCGAATTGTCCGAGTTTCCTTTCAGAAGATGACGTCAAATGTATTCGAATACGATACGCAAGTTTTTCTTTCCCTTTATGTTACTTTATTATAGCATCGGTTATTATAATATTTGTCTACGTGTATATTGCCATTGTCATTTCCTCTCGGGGAATTTTTAACGCTATTGAAAAAAAAAATAGATAAGGGATATTTTAATCCTCTTTACTCATAGCCGACGTGGTATAGTCATACATCACAATAAGTGGGTAAATATTTCATATCACCAAACTCCGTAGTATCGTAACTGTTCATAGTATTATATTGTAGGTAATTAAGGGGGCATAAAACGCAATGCCTGATTATTTATTTGCAGCAGTAAGCCAGACGAACTGAAAAAACGGTTTTTAATGAATTAACCACTAATTATTACCATTATTATAAAAGTGCTGCAAAATTTTTTTGTATAAATTAAAAAAAGGGTATAATTATAAGATGTGCCAAAAGGGTGAATATGAAGGGTAACTGTTTTTTTTTCTATAGGGAATATTTTATAAAGCTTTGTTTTGGCTGTTTCAGAACACTTTGAAATATATGTATAATATAATTGCTAATTTTGAATACAGTTTTATTTGGACTTTATTTATTTTCACAAAACTTACCGAAAATAAGTGAATTTTTATTTATGAGCCATCTTAATGGTTTACAAACGGAATACATTGCGCAGTTGTACGGCGAAATCGATTGTCTGCCCCAGACAATGTTCACAGTGGGCAATAATTAATACGGTAAGTTTCGCACTAAACCTTAAAAGCATGTTTAGGTTCATTAACAACTTTATGAACCTATGATTGATTCAAAATTTGAATAAAATGGAAAGTTTACAGCATAAAAGGTCTTGAAAAAATAACAGGAATTCTTTAAAAAATGTTTTTCTTTTTACACTGAAATAATGAATGAGATAGAAAGATTTATACGCCCTAAGTTACTGTGAACAATAGTTAAGCTTTGGAAATGCTCGGCGCTGAACAAACGAGAGAATATTTCCATGACATTAGATTTAACCCTTGTAATTTCCATTAATGGTTCTTTAGTAAATATTATGAAGTAATAAGTGTGATTTATTGTGCAATGATTTCTTATTACTGATACTGAAGTGTTATTAATTATGTGAGAGAAGCTTATTACCATACGCCACCCTGGAGTTTATTGAGAGTCATCGATCATGGCGTGAGTAAGTATGAGCTTAACTTTCTTGCTGTTAAACAAAATTAAATAACGTCTACTTTTTTTTGATACTTTGACGTTACAGAATGAATTATTCGAAGAATTTGATAAATTGTTTCTAACTTAAATATAAGAATTAATACATATTTCAATACAATGATATTATGTATAAATAGTCAAAATGTCTTAACCGAATACTGATAAATTTAAGAAAACTTAACATAATTATAAACTTTAGGTCTTACGAGTTTATTGTGATATATGCTCGAGTTCTAAAATTAAGTTTCTATGCGTAAGTACTACTTACTTCGATATGTGTAAGTACTGTAAAGTTTTTATTGATAAGGAACGAAAGTTTATTGACGTTCATTATTTTTTAAGATTAAACAAATAAATACTCTCCACCCGTACGGATTCGCCCGAAGGCTACAAGCATATTGTTTATATTGCGAGAGTATGTGGTTTAATGAGGTTTCTGGCGACTGCTGTTCTTCGGAGCCGCGGAGCGGTGTGATGGGGCTGGGCACCGGAGGGCGCATCGACCCACGAGGGAGAGGAACCACAAATGTCTCTGAAACATACGCCCGACTCGCAGGAACTCGCCCTGCATGGGGTGGGACGAAATGGGTATGAACGCCGTGGGAAGTAATCTTTGGGCTGTCCCCGTGCATCACCTCCATAAGAGAGGGACATCACTGGGCCTTAGTGGGTATGACCCTGCTATTTGACTAGCCCCATTCCGTGATGGGTCTACAGGGGAGAGTCCCATATAACTCGCCGACCCTGCGGAATGGGGGAGCGGGTATGCGTAATAAATAACGCAATTACCAAAGTTCCCGGCGACTGGGATCATATTAACTTAAATTTTACATTTGTCATTTTTACATTTGACTGTACTGGTTTTGTATAACAATAGATTTTATTAATTCCACAGTAATTTTTCGCTGGAAGAAAAATATTAATATTAAATTAAACCAGCAACTTGGTCCGCGGTTCGAGTTTATGTAATCCCGGTTCCTAGAAGGACCTCCGTTAAATGTGTACAACATTTTAATGAGTTCGTGATGAATTAACTAATTTTGTTTATAACGGTGATCTTATTTACAGATATCAGATACCTATGTGTTAGATGTCTTTATCTATACTTCTATACTAATATTATAAAGGCGAAAGTTTTGATTGTTTGTTTGTTTGCATCAAATAGGCTCGGAAGCAACTGCACCGATTTAAAAAATTACTTTTTTCCTATTGAAAGCTACATCATACGTGGTTGACATAGGCTATAATTTACGTGGAAGTCGCGTGTACACATGCCAAAGCTTATATTTTATTACAACAACTAGGTTTTCAAATGATGTACAAAAATAGCTTGGAAACTGTCCTCTGCTGCTCTCTAAATAAGAATCACAAGTCGATTACTGCCGAGACAGCTAGTGTTCTTTTAATAAAGTAGATGAGTAGCATAGCCCTATCTCTGTGTGGGTGGAATGAGAAAGCCTTTTTGTGTCGCGCCGGGCGGCGGAGCGCAGAGCGTCATGGCCTATATTTACTATGGAAACAGTTTTCTCGCTAAAAGGCCCTTTCGGAACGATTCATTTGTTAATTTTTTTATGTTATAAGTGCTATTGATTTTGCTTAGATGCACTAATTTAAATAATGAGTATACATATGAATGACAAGTTGATTTGATATGCAGGTATATATTTTTTTTATTTGGGTATTTGGTTGCGAATGCCTAAATGTAACGAAAAAAATATATAAATGAAATAATCAGTTGTCATTTATGAGGTTCATAATGATAAGGTGGCAACAGCTGTTTTATAATGAAAACACACTGAGTTACGATATTACATTTATTTGAATTTATTCGTGACAAATAATGACATACAATATGTATATAATGTAATCGCTAAGTAGTACTTTTGAGCTTATTGATTCTCTCAATTCCTAATTCAGCCAAGCCAATCACACTTCCCAACAATAAATTAAATGCAAGTTATTTTTTTTTTATAAAAAATACAACACGCTAAAATATTATATCGCGATTACAACAATAAAATTATGTAAACAGTCAATATCGTCGACCGATTGTAGAAACGTACTTACATTATTTGTATTTTTGAAACGGTGCTAATTTAGGGTAACGTGGAATGCTAATTTTCTTATAAATCCAACAACGAAAATTATTCGTTTTATGATTTTACTAATAATGTTTTTCAATTCACTTGAAAAGTTAAAAGCGCTCAATATTTTACAATATACACAATAGACACAACATTTGGCAAATATTTATGGCATATATAGTTATTATTTCATTAATAGAAGTAAGAAATATAGTGTCAAGGTTAATGAATTTATAACATAGCAACGGATAAATGATTTTAAATTAATTACAATTCTGTAAAGATGATACAATAGCGCTCTTTTGACAGGTACCGAAAATTTTTTTTTACATAAATTCTGTTCTATTTTTAAATTACTATTTTATCTTCGGAACCTGTGAAATGGCTAGATTTAACTGGTTTATCTATTTGAATATTTATCATATTCTATAACAAAATTTATTAGAAAATAAACCTATATTTTTTACATACTCGCATTAGGGAATAAGTTTCCTTGCATAAAAATTATATTTATTTTACATATTACAGTCATAATAGTGATGTACGTCTTAAAGAACGAGTTTTCTAGGTAAATTTAGCTATGTTTCGCTGTGTGTGACTAAATATATTCCCATGGGAACTAAATGGTAAAAAACACACACACACACACACACACACTTTTATTTAAAATTGCCACGTAGTATAAATAACAATTTAATACATCGATTACTTTGCAGTTTTGCGAAAGTGTAAACATGGAAATATATTTTTTATATAATGTACAAAGTATTACAGTTATTGTCATTTAAAACAGAAGAAATTTCAATAAAAAAAAAATATTTTAATATCATACATGAAACTAAATTGATGTAGTAGATGAATAGATTATTACGTGCTTCTATTTCAAAATTTGGCACTAGGTTGGCAGTAACACTAGCCTTCGGAACATCGTGCCACACTTTTAAAATGATTTTCAGTTTTTTATAAGGTTTTTGTAATGATATTTTCAAAAACCAGTTAGTTATACCATAGTGAAGTTTTTAAAGTAAAAATGATGAAATTTAAATTTACCTGCTAAAACTCAAACATCATGTATAAATACTTTAAATAAAGTTAATTTACATGATAGTTTTTGATGTTACTTTCTCGAACTGTCATTATAGATTTGAGCCCGTTTGACACGTTGAAGATGAAGTCTAAAAGTTTCCCATACGTCATTAGCACCTGTTTGCGGCGCTGAGGGCATTAGTAAGAGTTTAACTGTGGGTCTGCCCGAGCTGATTTCCCGTACCTAGCTCATCAAGACGCGTTTAATCGAATGGAGACTGTTTCTACTTTGTGGCTATACCGTGTGGCTGAAATCCTGATTGATATGGCAAAATGACGCTCTAATAGATCCTATTAAGCAGACCGAATAGTCGGAAGTCTCGGATTGGACAGATAAATCAGAGCTTTATTTTCACAGCTCATCAAACGGTTTTGTTACGTGGTAGAGCCGCTGAGCGATATCTGTGATGAAGTTTTATTCTCCATCAGAATAAATCCATTACTAAACTATTTTATATAAAGTTATAGAAAACAAAACTTTATTAGGAGTTTTATTAAAAAAAAATGGCAGGGCACTACGCTTTGAAGTCTAGTGTATGTTATGTGAATTATGAATCTAAATATTAACCTTGGCACTATGTCTTTACATAACAGGAAGTTGATTGCATAGCGATCCCCATAATGCATTTTACAAAGTTGCACCTGCAGAGAGCCCCAAACAATTTAATATGCCAGTAATTACTTAGACTAAAGACATAAGATTTTATTTACATGACTTTACGGTGTGTTTGTGTCAAATGTTATAATGTCAATTATGGTTTTAATCAATTGAAATTGAGCATAAAACGATTGGCTCTTAGTCTATACGACGCCACAGACTGCACGAGTAAAATATTAACCTATTACGGTCGACTACAATCTACCGACAATTTATACAATACTTACAAATATTTGACTATTCAGTCGGGTTTCTTAATTCTATCACAAATGTAATACGGTTTTTAAATATTTTGAACGCATAGCGTAGATACTCGTACATTATTCCTATCAAAGTGCAGTACATGTATACCCCTTATAAGTAGTTACATATCTTGACGTTTAATACACCTGTTTCGCTTACACCTATGTATATAAACTTGCCGATAATTTACTCTCCAGGCGTACAAGTAAAGATAAATATCGCTGTGCAATACCTATCTCCATGAATAAATGAATTTTATCATACAAACTTATTAGTATTGACTATTATAATACTATAAAAAACTAAGACAATAAAAATAAGTGTGAACAGTAAAATAGTCCAAGAGAGATCTAAAATTACTTTACAATTTTGGATACAGATACACATATATTATACGATACAGAAAAAATAAGGTTGCTAATAATTTTAAATGATGGTTTATTGATATTGCAAAATTAATTTATATCTTCAATTCATAAGAGAAATTTATTGTTAAGAAGTTTAAATGAGTGCCTATACTTTTATAAAATGAACGATATCATCGTTTGTACTTATAAAGATTAATACTGCATAACATTAAAAAAATAAAATAAAATTGTCATTTGTTTTAAGATTCTTGATAAGAAAACCCTTTCCGTACTTCTTTTTCAAGTATTTTTGAGATAAATATTGTAAACGTGAAATTGACGGTAATAATTATGGAATAACCATTCATCATAAATGTATAAATCCATTAGGATTGCCTTCTCCAAAAAAATGTAAACACGGACAAAGAGATTTATAAAGGAAGACCCGCACATTTCTGGCGATCGTGCGAAATTTTGAATCCAGTCAGTATCGAATACTCCTACGCCTTGCAAACTATTACAAGTCCGGGGAAAACCGGACGGATGGCAACCCCAGTTACAGTATTATATTATCTGGGCATCTGCTTACAGGATAATCGTATTCGGAACATGTTCTTAATGCTAAAGCTATAGAACTTTATCGTTTACCAACATTTATCTATTCATGCGTTTCTGCAGGCATACAATCTATCTATGTAAGTTTAAAGCTTACGGGTTACCGCATTGAGTTTAAAATGTTACGCCTTCTATACTAAATCGGCTCATACTGCACTCTAAGCTACTCACAACTATGCGACTTCTTTACGATTATCAACTGTACAAAATAAACACGAAGATATCTATTTAATTTAAAAGTTTATCGTTATCATTCTTTTCTCAATCCAGATATACACCTTTTTATGCGAAGGAAAAATAATTACAAAATGGAAATATTAGTATGGGGAAGACTGGGTTAGGAAAGAACTAGAGCTTCGTATCTGAATTTCTCGATATCGTTTTTCATTATGGAATCTTTAATTTTAGTAATTAGTTGTTATTAAATTGATAATAATGAGACATTTTAATTGATGCGTATATAATTCGCAGTTATTGAAATTTATGAAATTGGCAAAAAATTATCAAATTACAATTATGTACAGCTGAGTTTATTATGTCGTTGTCATTAAAATTCTTATACTATTGTCAATGCAACTTGAATAGTTTAAATTGACACGTTTTGGTGAAAGAGTTGTTGGTCCTAACTACTCTTCTCTTCTATTACTATTTATGTTCTTAATTATCATTTAACAGAATATAAGAAGCTGGATATTTTACAAAAATACAAAAGTAATCGTTGGTAGGTGACCCTCCTTCGAGGACAGCGTATTTTTAAATCCTATTGTTAATTACGTCCCTCTCAAAGTCTATAGAACGGTAAAGGCACGGTCATGATGTGTATTGCACTTATGGGATTACTTGTCCATACAGACAGAGAGAAGAAATTTCTTCTAAATGGTTCAAAACACGCTCTAAACTACGAGTCAAGTCGAGGAAAGCGTTTCAAGGCACATACTTTTAGAAATAATAGTAGTGGTACATACATAGAGAAAGTAAAGTTGCACCACATGTCAGGTAAGGTTACAATCAGATGAATTCAAAATTGACCGCTAAAAGCGTATCCTACGACGAGAGATCCGATAATAGTAGAGTGAACGTTCTAGTTTCTAATTCCGAGCGCCCGGTCGGTATATCACGTAGAACCTTTACTATATCTACGACGTCGTCACGTGACAAACACTATACTAATTGAATACATAAAAATTTAGTCGAAGCTCTTACGGTTCATTAAATCGATTACCTGCACCATATCACCGTTTCACAAACAGAACACTTTCCACATACACGATAATAACTATAACACTTAAATGACATTTAGTTCGCTATTATCACACACGTCTCCGTTTGCAATAGTCGGTATGTGATTCCCGTTAGTTTTTTCATGTAGTCGGCAGGAGCTCTGCGTGAGCTCCGGTCAAAAAACTGGTGGGTGATGGGTGCGTTCACAGGGTAGGCGGAGACAAGCGCCGCGGCAAAGATGCAGGAGCGCTGGTGCTCGCGGTGGCGGCGCCGGCGCTGGTAGTACAGGGGACAGCGACCCCGCGCCCGAGGGGCTCTCCCGGTCGAGCGCGGAGGGCGGGCGCTACACGTGCGTGCACGCGCCCGCCGTTACGGGTCACCCACCGGCTAGTATATCCTCTGGGTCCGGCGACCAGCAGTTGTCTGATAGCCAGCACCCCACCACCACAGTTACGAAACCGATCAGCAGGGCCAGCACTATGTACACCTCCGCGTTTCCTGGCATACCATTTTATAAATACAGTCAATATCTGGAATAGCATTTATTAAATACAATTTTTAAACCTACTAAAAGTATATAACGATTACATCGAAATTGTTTTAAATGAATCATTTTTTTCGATGCCCTCGATTTCAAATATTCTCAGTCAAGAATTTACTCTACCTGTATACTTGAACCTCTTTCAGTTTTATCATTTGAAATTTTCTGGTGCACAACAGCTCGTAATACTGATACAATGTGTATGTAATTGATATTGGGAAATGAAATAGCAATAAGCTCTGCTCCCAACGCATTCCCTTAGGATTGTAAATTGAAAGGTTCTTACTTTCTGTTAGTTGAGCGACTTTTATTTAATCGTTTTTCAATAACAACGATTCTATTTGTGATTGCTTTTGTTACTGCTATTGCTTATGTTTTTTATTTTATACTTTTTCAAATTAACATTTAAGTTAACACATGAAAAGCATAATCACCCAAACCCTTAACATTCTTTGAAAATAAACAATATTTAACTACGTTTAAATCATAAAAATGAATGTATATTAGAAGAAAAAAGATGAATATGCGTTTGTAATAAAATATATATAGTATGATGTTGACCATAACATCTAGCTCTAATAACCATTGCCGATGAATAATAAATATTTTACCGACCATTTTGGAGATAAATGGGAAACAGTTGATTGCACATACACATCCAAATAAACTCTAAATCCAAATAATTATTTCCAACATGCTTATTGAATAATACCTATTACAAAGTAATGTTGGAATTAACAGTTAATCAATGTTGGACAGTAGCGTCCAAATAAATAAAATACTATTGAAAAAATATATGACAATCTTTCACGTTTAGTCGCTTATAATTTTTCAGAAACTTTTTAACAAGATTGCTGTTTCAACTTTTGGGACTTTACGTTTACGTGTTAAAATTATTTGATACATACTAACTGTTATTAAATGTTATTTTCACATCAATTTTAGTAATCTTACATAATAGGATATTACTTCATTTTACGCGAATTCAAAAGGAGCTTGAAATTATGAACCATTTTTGTGGAATGCAATGCAGATAAGGATAAGTCGAGCTCTACATTGTGCTCGTACTAGTTTATTTCACTAATGATTTAAGGCGCTTTTAAGATTTAATTTAGGGCATTTATATTTGGTTCAACTTAAAAAAAAGTCATAAAGAAACTCATATTTTAAACATAAAGATCAAGAAGCATTATATTGATCTATATTAAGGAAGTTACTTATTTTGGTATAAGCATTGGAAGTTATCTAATAACTTAATTTTTAAATTTGTACATAATAGTTATTTCTAGGAAGTAAACACCGATATTTTTATTTTAACTAATTACACTGCGTTACAAATGAAAAAAAATATTAAGTACCCGCTTTGAAATGTCATGTTTTCCTATTTATTCCTATCGTTTAGTAAGAATACATACATATTTTTTTTTCTATGACGTCTCATTTTTTTTCCGTCTCGATATGACAAATTACACTAAAAATTTAAAGATTCAAACATAATTTAAAGATATCTAATAAAATGTAGGGGGATGAAGTTGCTTGCGTCCGTAGGATCTCCATCTATCCGTAGACCCACTCTTCACGTGTCCCCTGATTGTTGCCAAACAAGCAACAACGCCGAGTCACAGGCAGCGGTCAATTAACCTGTTTCTGGCTACCACAAGCCAAGAGGAATTAAATCACCTCTAAAAAGAGTGGCTCCGATGCCGTGGGAAAGTATCATGAGTATCGCCTATCAACTTTAATGAATAATGTCGAATAATGAAAGTGTGATGTTAAGCAATCCGGCTGACCCCCGGCGCTTGCAAGTAAGAAATTTGCTACCGAAGACTGTGCAGGTGTGAGCGTCCAAGCTCCTGCACCAGTGAATGTTACTGGAAGCACTAAAAAGAATCTAAAACAACAAGCCTTTCACCCTAGCTTATTCATAACACGACCTAGGTCTGCTTCAACAGGAAGTTGCCCTGTATATCTAGTAGCAGGCAGCGACAAAACAAACACTGATTACATAGAATCACCAATCTCTAACAGGAACTCAACAGGCCCACCACCTTGGCAAAGGGTCCCTGTTACACGAAACAAAAAAAGAAAGTTAACGAACAGTCCCACCAATTCAATAGAAACTACGGCAACATCTAATCGCTTTGCTGAACTACCAATAAATTTGACGGACGACAATCCTGTGAAACAAAAACAAAATAAACCACCACCTATTGTCCTATATGGTGTAAAAGACTTGACTAAACTAACTGAGCTTCTTGAATCAGTAGCAGAAAGGAAACAATTTACTTATAAAATAATTAACAAAAACCAACTTAGAATAAGTAGCATTGATGAAGAGGTCTACAAAAAGCTCATCGATATTGTTAGAGAAAATGGTTTGGTCGGTCATACTTTCAATAGAAAAGATAAGAGAGGTTGCCGAATAGTTATTAAAAACTTTCATCCACTACACCGGTGCACATAATTAGGGCCGAAATAGAAGCTACAGGAAATATAGTTATGGGTGAAATTATAAACGCGAAATTTGGCCCTGAAAAGAAACCTACCTCAACTTTCTTCGTTAATTTACCACCTAGTCCTAATAACAAAAATATAAAAGACTTGAAGATCATATACCATCAGGCTGTCGTTATAGAAGATCCAAAGAAAAAAAAGACCCTAGTACAATGACAGAGATGCTAACAATACGGACATACTAAAAACTACTGTATGAGATCCTATCGATGCGTCAAATGTGGCCAATCTCATAAAACTTCAGATTGCCTAAAACGTGACAGAAGTTCACCTGCACATTGTGCTTTGTGTAATGGCCCTCATCCAGTCAACTACAAAGGGTGTGAAGTTTATAAAGAAATACTAAACCGTAAAACTAAGAGCTCAGGCAATAGGATTGCTATCGCCTATAAAAAATCGACATTCCAAAATAAAAATTCTGAACAAAAAAGTACAGCAGAGAAGTTGGATAGTCTGAATAGGAAAAAAACTTACGCAGAAACTGTAAAACAATCTACTGCGGAGAGCTCTAGTATTATAAACACTAATGATGACAGTGTAAGCCAAGGATTTACATTAGAACAAATTCTCTCAAAACAAAATGAAAAGTTTGATTCAATCCTACAACAAATGAGCATTCTGATGAGTCTCATGGTTAAACTGATTGATAAACTGACAAAATGATACTACTGCGTCTGGCTACCTGGAACATAAATGGACTAGCCCCAAATCAACAGGAAGTAGAATTATTAATGTCAGAGCATAAGTTAGACATCCTCCTTGTCACTGAAGCCAACTGCACCAACCGAATGTCAGTAAGATTTTCAGACTTTCTGTGCTACCATACAGACCACCCTGATGGAACCGGTCATGCGAGATCAGCGATTGTAGTAAAGAAGTCTATAAAACATTACCAAATGTCAGATTTCAAAACTCAATATATCCAAGCCACTACTATTGCCGTTCAGGATAAAAATGGGGACCTTAACCTCTCTATAGTCTACTGTCCGCCGGGACCCCCTATTACGGAAGCCATGTTCTCACAGTTCTTCCAGTCACTTGGTAATCGATATGTGGCAGGAGGTGACTGGAACGCTAAACATACCGACTGGGGTTCCAGGTTAACGACTACCAGAGGTAGGCAATTGCAACTTAGTATTGTTCAGAATAATCTCAATGCTATCTCAACTGGCGAACCAACATACTGGCTTGGCGATAGTAAAAAACTGCCTGACTTACTCGATTTCTTTATTATCAAAGGCCTTCCAAACCTATATTTAAAGCCGGAATCATGTCTTGATGGCTTATCTGACCGCACACCTGTACTTCTAACAATTAGCTCAAAAATCATAAAATGTACGAGACAGGATTCACTTTTTAATGAATTTACTGACTGGTATTTATTCAGAGAACACATTGAAGATTATATACAAATGAAAATGGCGTTGAAAACTTGTGACATAGATGACGCTGTCAAATATAACACCACTCTAATACAAACAGCGTGTTGGGCCAACACACCGCCAATTGCTATAAACAAAAAATAACAAACAATCCACTACAAATAAAATTGGCACTACTAGAAAAGCGTAGATTGCGAAAAGTATGGCATCGAAGTCGCAATGGAGATGACAAGACTAGATTCAACAAAGCGTGTAACGACCTTAGGATTATGCTTAAAGCTTGGCATAACGACACTTTGGAAGCGCAACTCATCTCATTATCGGGAACAAGTTCAACAGATTATTCGTTATGGAAATTCACGAGGAAATGATGGATGGGCTCGGACTCCAAAAGAAAAGGCAAATAAATACCTTCGCCGAACAGATACAGGACCCAAGGAGCATGAAAAGAATATTGAAACAGTACTTAAACAAGACTACCAAATGTCTCTACCACAAAAACCTGCTACAGTCAAAGAGGTATGAAAAGTGGCATCAGAACTAAAAAAGAGAAAAGAGCACCAGGATTTTACCTAATCACTAAGGAAATAATTAAACAACTCCCAAAGAAAGCTATTGTCTTTTTAACAACTCTATATAACGGTATGCTAAGGGTGCAGTACTTTCCGATGTTGTGAAAGGTATCGAAAATTATCCTTATCCATAAAAATGGCAAACCACCTCATGAAGTTGGATCATACAGACCTATTAGTCTACTGCCAATCTTGTCCAAGATTTTCGAGAAATTATTGCTTCGCAGAATCCTTCCAATTTTAAACGAGAACAATGTAATACCTAGTCATCAGTTTGGATTTAGACAGGAACACTACACTATAGAGCAAGTGCATAGTGTGCATGAGAAAATAAGGAAAACTCTTGAAGAAAAAGAGTATTGCTCTGCAGTTTTCTTGGATATCCAACAAGCATTTGATACGGTCTGGCATAAAGGTCTCCTCTACAAACTAAAATATAGCCTTCCACACAGTTATCACAAGCTTTTTGAATCCTATATCACCAAATGAATATTCCGAGTTAAATAATCAGGAGAAACCTCAAATTTTTTTACCATACGTGCTAGAGTACCTCAGGGCTCAGTCTTGGGACCGGTACTATATACAATTTATACAGCTGACTTACCTGTAATGGAGGATATTACAACTGCTACGTTTGCTGATGACACTGCCATTCTGGCAAGCCACAAAAACCCAAATACAGCAACACAACTACTGCAAAGAGGCTTAGATGACATTACAGAATGGCTGCAGAAGTGGAGAATTAAAGTCAGTTCGTCAAATCCGTTCATGTTACTTTCACAATGAACAAAGGCGACTGCCCTCCAGTGAAATAAGAAAATATTACTCTCCCTCATCAAACCTGTATTAGATACCTGGGGATACATCTGGACATGCGTCTTACTTGGAGAGAGCATATAAATAAAAAGAGAAAAAAACTGAATATCCGCTATAAACATCTTCTATGGCTAATGGGGCGCAACAGTAAATTGTCAGTGGATAACAAATTACTTATCTACAAAGTTATTCTTAGACCACAATGGACCTATGGCATACAACTCTGGGGTACTGCCAGCAAATCTAACATCCAATGTCTTCAAAGGGCCCAAAATATGATCCTCCGGACCATTAGTGATGTACCATGGTATATAACTAATAACGAAATCCATGCAAATCTGGAAATAACAACAGTGAAGGAAGAAATAGACATAGCTACTCAAAGATATAGAGCCAGACTGAAAACGCACCCGAATAAACTAGCAAAACCGCTAATAACTCGGAGTTACAACAAGCGACTCAAAAGGAAGGATGTCCTATAGGGAGACATAAATAAGGAGGAGATGTTCTTACTGAAGAACACACTTCACAACCCACTTATCCTGCAACACATTTACTGACCACTGATCGTAAATTCAAACTCGAAAAAAAAAATGTACCAGATATTTTTCATTAATAGAGTTTATTTTTTATCATTTTGGTAAATACAAGAAAAATCAATGCATACAATTTACACCCAGAATACCTTTAAATTTTCACTTTATCTTTTATGTTTTGAACGACCTTCTCATTTTAGACGCCAGCAGTAATCGCCTAGCATAGTTGTATCCAAATGGTCTAGAAATCGCTCTTCAAGCTTCTTTATATCTTGGTGGAACCTCTCATCACAGTCAGCACCAAGATTATATAGAAAAAAAGAAAAGTGGGAATGAAGAAAGTGAATTTTTAACGACATTCTACAACCCAACTTTTCGTATGCTTTTAACATATAGTTAAGTAGCTGTTCTGCATTTTTGGCTCTATGGTTCCCTAAAAACAATTTTACAGTGATAACCAGGCATCTGACGTCATTATATTTTACAACATTTGGCATATCTTGCGTTTCTGAAATCTCAATTTCATTTTTGGTATGAGGTAATGGAGGAGGCATTTCTTCTTTGTGAAGTACTTGTTTCAAATATAAAGGAATGTCAGGATACTAAATGATGTTTCTTGATTGATTGATTGATTGATTGAATATTCTTTATTGCACTATGAAATACAGTAAGAAAGGTACATAAAACTAGATTCAGTAACACAAAAGGCGGCCTTATTGCTAAGGTAGCAATCTCTACCAGGCGACCCTAGGCTAAAGGAAATGATACCAATAAAGAAAAATTAACAGTTTCTTTTGAAAATTCACGTATGTCAGTAATCCAAAAGTAGCAATCATAAAAATGATTACTAGGTCCACGCCATAAAGCTGGTACGGCAAATGGCATTGACGTCATGTTTCCATTTAACCAACATATGAGAGTAGCATAGCACGTAACACGAAAAACTGTGGTATCCATGATTTATCTTGATTTACACGTCCAAAATAAAGTAAATATGCACTTCTCACTTTTATGAAAACTGAAAAAAAAGTACTGTCCACAAACATAACAAAACTTATTTATTTGGTTCATTTTTACAGTTGCGACGGCCACTAAGTTCAGTATTCATGTTGGATTTTTAAACAAATATGTTTAGAGATATCGAGGTTATCGAATAGAAACGATTTATGAATAAAACAAAACAATAAAAAAGTATAATACATCGAAAACCGCAACTGTTTCTTTTACACCTAAGGTGAGAGTTTAAAATAATGACTGACATGTACCTCGAAAACTGTGATGGATACCACATATATTTGGAACATTTTATCTGTGACTCATTACCTATACATTCCAGCTATCAGTTTAACGGGTACCAAAATCGTGTAACGCAGTGTTATTTATGTTTTCCGAGCAAAAATATCACTGAGCTGTAGCCGTTTTGTATCGTTGCGGCACTCTTTATAGGATATTCTAGGCTTTTAACATGTTGTTATTTTAATTTTTTGTATGTACTGTAAATGTATGCCGATCGTATTTTTGTTTATATCTAATATGATCAATATACCTATCTCTTTACAAAATAAGTTGTAAAAAGAGTTCTCACCGAGCTGCTTTCGGATGCCGAGTGGTTGCCGGCTGCGCCAGAGTGAATTGATGAGAGTGGGGTCTCCGCGAGTGCGCCAGTCCCGGTAACCACGCCCTCTGGAATACTGACTGAATCTGTGTGCAAATATGAAGTGTTCAACAATGGTCACACTACATGACTTTAACCTAATTCACACTACTCATACGAATTAACATCACATCTAAAGGCCTATTCTGTCCCTCTTAAAAAGAAATTAAGATTTCGATAAAATTTATCATAATCGAGGTAGGACCTTACACTGCCTTGATAAAGATATAATCGTGAAGATTATATCTTTATGTGTACGATTTTAACATAAGTTTTGAAATTTTCCGAATTCTCGTTAGTGGACAAATTGAGTGGGCCCTCAGGTGTTATGTTAATTCGTATGAGTTATAGCTAAAGTCTGTCTCACTCTACTATACGCTATATCTACAGTAGAAAAAACTTACACTATCGCACGTAATAACAGCGAAATTGCTGAAGGTGCTTTCATCACAAATCTGGCATAAAGCCAACTTTAATGCTAAGCTCACCGTCCATACAAACAGGACATATACAATGTAATAACAGCAAAAAAGCGAAATTGAATTGTTACGTTTCCGTCCTTGGGATATTTTGTATTCGTGCATAAAGTAGCTAAATAAGTGTTCATGCGAATGCAGTTATAACTACCGTGACAATATTATATATTGAAGCAGATTAAAATTGTATAGCTTTTTAAAATTTACATAATTCGGATTTACAGGTGATAGTGGCCATTCCAAAGGATCTATATGTCATTGTCTTACCAAAACTATAGACTCCAAAAACAATTCAATTTCGCGACTATGTGTTCTTAATCTACCTAGTGTTTTCGTATTATCTTAATATCAATGAGATATTTAGGTAATAATATTAAATTTCAATCAATTATATGCTATGTGTAAAGTAAAAATATCGTTTTAAAAATCTTATACAATATCGCGTCCTATAGATACTTTATTTCGGTCACATAACCTGAAAAATCCTAAGTACAAACTACAATATATTGGATCGTGCAAATAATCTTTGTATTCATGCAGCGGGTTTAATATTATTTTGACCATCAACAATAATAGATGGTTAACTGGAATATACTTTTTATGAGGCGCCTATGAAAAAATCTGCGATATTTTTTTAACAATAAATTACTTACGTTGTCTCGTTGCAGCCATTCGTTGCGGATAATAAAAATTACATTTAAACGGGCTTATACATTATTGACATTACCTAAATATTACAACACTATGTAGCTTTAAAAATATTTTTTAAATATTCTGTAATGACTTAATAACAATGGTCGACGGTGCCTGTATGCGGAGTGCGGGTGATTTTTATTGATCAGTAATTAGTTGCCATTAGTTTATAGATAAATGAAAATGAGCCGCAGAAACTACCCGCACTTCTCATACGGGTTCTTTATACCAATGTGAATGAGCCTAATATAACAATCAATCTTCACTCATTACTTATTCGTAAAAGAAACCTGTCAAATATTTTTTCAACTTTCATTTGAAATTTTTCGTTTTAATATTCGTATTTCTATTTGTAACTTCATAGTTGGTACTTCTATTTAAAATATATAAGAATAACTTAGACATACAACTAACTAAAATATTTAAATGCTTCAGTAAACTAAAAACATATATAATACAATATATTAAGTATGTATATCAGTTTTTTTAACTTTACAGAGTGGAGATTATTACTACCACTTAATTTAGGAGATAAAAAGCAATTTTTTTTATAATTTAAAGGTTTTAGTTTAGTTAATAGTGTCAAAATTAAGTATAACTTTAGAAACCTAAATACAAAATAAGGCTGTGTGTTTAATAAAATATTATTGCCATGAACGTTTATTTACGTTTATGGAAGGTACAATGGAAGGCCTCTTTTAATCGCTAATGACTATGATAATTTGCGATCGTAAATAAAGCTATTCTCTCGCATCGCTTTTGCGAATACTCTTTTGTCCATAGGCTTGATCTGTACTAAACGCTGCTGTTAAGCTGAGACACAATCGTACTTTTATATTGCAATTGAACCGCATTAATAATATAAAAGATGATATTACAATCGCTAATAGGTGTATTTTCTAAATAAAAAAACGTATTTTGTTGGTATTTCACGAATTCCATAGCACGTAATGCCATAATCTTGACGTGCGTTTCTATGACATTAAGATGTGATTTAGCAAATATAACTATAGCTGTATATAGTAATAAAAGTTCTAATTAGGTATTTATCCAAAAGTGGTACTAATAGATATCGGTTGGATTTCTATGATGGTACATACTAAATAAAATTAAATTGTCGTATAATCGTAGCTTGGACTATACACAACTAATGCATTGTGCAATGCATAATTAAAATCATACAAATACACGCTTATAAATAATAGCACACTTAATAAGTCAATAATATCGTACAAATGGTTTAATACAGGCTCTCATCTGTATTCATGAAATCGATATTCGATGTATTGCGAATTATTTATTTTATACTGCCATTGTCATACCATTGTGATTTATTTAAGATTAGGTACCTATATCTTATATTGATTTCATAAATACGCCTGCAATTTGTTAATCCAATATTCGGTGCTACTCTTGTATAAAATATCATATATAAATAAATAAAACGATCGCCGAAATGTATCTTCATGTGTAACTTCAGAACGACTACACTAAATTAGATAATTTTTAGTTTTATTAATTATCAGGACAACAAAAGATCATTTTATAAAAATTTGTACGGAAAGTCGTAAACAATTATTTTAATTAGGTACCCGTGCAGTGCCGGAGCGGGTAGCTAGTTAAGTAATGAACGCCGAAAAAATCTGAAGCTGAAATGATAATTCATTCTTTTACTTTGAGAAAAATTTATTGTTATAGGATTTTGTAAACTGAAATTGGGACTTTCATTATCGAGGATGTGTGAAAATGGGAAGAGCGGACTTACGGCCGGTTTCTGAATTGAGAAAAGTTCAAAATATCAACTAATTCTTCTCAATAACTTAAGTTTTTTACGTTTAACATGGCAAAAATGCCAAGTTTTATCAAACTGTAATCAACCTATAATTAAAAAAAAATGAAATCAGAAACGAAAATGACATTTGAAATGGCGACGGTTTGAGACGTGCTTAACTAAATTCTCAATTCAGAAACCGGGTGTTAGTAACATATGGAAAGATTTAATAAACTAAGCAATTGAATAAATAATATTTATATGAGGAATGGATGGAAAATGCTTTAAGTCTTGTCAATGAACAATGAACAATATTGTTCACTAGCTTTCCGCTCGCGGCAACGCTTGAATGGAAATCGATTATTCTCGCATATCGTATTTACAACCCTTTTAAGCCTATTTTCCCAAGGTCCACTCGAACAAAAAAAAAACCTTAAAATTGGTAAAAACGTAACGCACACACACACACACACACGGACATAGTTACTTTCGTATTTATATTAGTATGGATTTATTACTTTTCAATCTTTAATACGAAAATTTTTTTTCTAAATAAAGACTCATCCTATTTTGTAACCCTTGAAAAACTGATGTAAAATAAATGCTTAGTAAAATATTAAAAGCGAAATTTCAAAATAATCTGTAGTAAGTACACTCGCGAGATATAGCACGGTGCTAGCGGTTAGCTGTGAGACGGTTTTCTCTCTGAGTAAATGGCTCAGACTTGCAAGACAGCATGACGCTCACGGTCAATCATGTATGAGACGTTGTTCTCACCGAGTAAATGTCACAGACTCGCGAGACAGTACGAAACTAACTGTCGACTGTGAGACGTTTTTCTCTCTGAGTCTCAGACTAGTGAGACGTAGCATGGCACTGACGGTCGACCGTGAGACGTTCTTCTCTCTGAGTACATGTCACAGACTGACGAGACGTAACGTGACATTGACTGTCGAGTGTGAGATGTTTTTCTCTCTGAGTCTGAGACTTGCGAGACATAGCGTGGCACTGACGGTCGACTGTGAGACGTTCTTCTCTCAGTATATGTCTCAGACTCACGAGACATAGCATGACGCTAACGGTCAGTTGTGATACTTTCTTTACATTGAATAAATGTCTCATGGGAATTGAGTCAGAATTTAATTGTTACAACCTTCGCCGCGTGGAGGTACTCCCAGTATATGTCATTAATACGATTTAAGTGTTTTATTGTAGGATCCATTTAATGATTGTATGATTGTCAATATGAAGAATAAGAAAAAAATACGATCCCCACATATCAAATAGAAGGTTACTTAAAAAAAAAACAATCGTTTTTCGTCAACAAAAAGTACTTATCATCCTGAACAATTGTTCCTTACGCGTTGAATTCGTATCTCTTACAGTGTTATTAATAAACAAGGTTTAGCGTTGGAGTAAATATATGCTGAGACTGCACTAAGTATTAGGCAAAATTCACATTATTAAACAGAGCCTTAGCAAAGGTTTGTACGAGGTTCTATGGGAGTAATATTTACTTCTAAAAGGAATAAATACTAAAATTGAATTTGGATCAAAACTAAAATTGTAATTTTAGCATAAATTTACTCTGACGCTAAATCTTGTTAATAGCAGGATACAGGTTTCGTTAGTTGGGCTTCTATTTTTATACGTCAATAGAAAACGCTATCACATTTAATATTTTTTCTTAGGCATTAAATTCCTATCTCTTAAGGTTTAGTAGGGCTGCTAGGGTTGTCCCAGGGTACAGCTATTGGTCCAGATCTTCGATTTTTATAATGTCAATAGAAACTGTTCATCACATTGAATATTTTTTCCTGAGACTATAGCTTTAGCAAACTATAGCTGTATATAGTAATAAAAGTTCTAATTTTTCCTGGGACGTTTTATTCATATTTTTATGGTTTAGCTGGAATGTTAGGGTTCTACATCAGACATTATTTTTTTCAAAATAATTTAAAGCCTATATATTGTCGAGGACTAATAACAAAAAAGTTTCATTAAAATCCGCCCTGTAGTTTTTTTGTGAAAGGCGAACAACTGACAGACACAAAAATTTCAAAAGTCAGATTTTTGGCTTCTGTAATTCTACACTTTTATTTGTGTATAGATACATCTTCTGTTTGTTTATTTATGTATAGTACGTTATACGTTCTTCGTAGGTACGCCTAAAGAGCTACCTTGCTGTACGAAATACTTCAAGTGCATAATAATTTTTACACTTATGAAAACCAACTAGGTTTAATATTAAAATTAAAGTTGGTGGCGAGTCGATAAGTAAAAGTTTCTTTCAGAAAAAAAAAACTTAAGATAACCTGGTCCTTTGGTCTTTAGTTTTATTAATCAAAAATGTATCAGTTTATCAATTAGAACATTCAACGTCGCATTTGCTTCTGATTTGTTACGAATTTCCATTGGAAATGTATATTTACGTTTTAGAAGTGAAATTATCAATTACTAATATTACGAATGTTTCTCAAATCTATTTCATTTATAACAGATATTTGTGTTGCGCTAAATATTTAGGATACACTGACTGCCCCTTAGCATATACTTATTTATTGGCTTATGAATGGAGTTACAATAGGTATGTAAAACAAAAAATAATATTGTTTTTCATTGTAGATTCTTCATCTTGTTTACCTACAAATGAATCCTTTTAGAAAATGTAAAGTGCGCGTTTTACAGTAGTTATGAAGGTCGGGCCAGTATTTGGGTCGTATTTCCCACAGGTATTTTCACGAGTACAACGACTGGTGGAGCGATATCACTGTTATGATTCACGTCCGTCACCTTTTACACATTATGCATACATTCAGATGAAACGTCTGTCTGCAAGGCAACAATATTCGTCGGTACAAAGAATTGCTACAGGTTACAAAAAAATATTGATGTTAATTTTATGATATATGATTCTACAGATTTTCTTTTTTAATTAGTATAGTGGTAGATAACTGTTACAAAATAGAGAAATGTTTATTTATACGGATTTAAAAAAGCGTTTTACTATAAAACTAGATATGTTTGACCGTATATTTTTCGTAAACTAATTATTTGCTAACTTTAATATTCTTGGATAGGGAAAGATTTAAAATAGTGATAGCATATTAATAAATTATAACTCCCAATATTCCTAATGGAGAAAAAAAATTAAAAATGGGAATGGCTATTATGTCGACACGGTTACGGTTTAGCCGTATGTTGGATATTAGTAAAGGACATCTTAATTTTACACCGAAAATAAATATTGAGAAAGATTTAAGTAATGTAGACAAATGCAATTTTCTTTAATATTAGTTATTAAATGTTTGATATTAAGCGAAAGTAACGAGGAATATACCTCCGGACTCCTCCGACGCCGGCCGGTGGCGCAGTGGAGTGCGGCACCCCTGGCGGCACTTGAGCGCCCCCTTGCACGCCGCCCTGCACGCTGCCCTGCGGCGCACACACACAACACCCTGCGTACACAACATAATATTATAGTATGACAAAACCTACCTGTTGAAGCATTGCTGGCTTCCTTAGATATGTATTTTTATATTACAATTTTTATGACTTTCGTCACCTTTTGTCATTATTAAAATTAAAACTGTAGTGTTTCGTGTGTCTGTTGGGTTTTTTTAAATATATCTTTTTCCATCTAAAATATCTTTAATTTAATCTATAGCCAACGTTTAAGGTGAGTATTAAAATCGTGTTGACGAGACACAGACAATTGTATAACAAATGAGAAGTGAATGAAATACATACATACTCAATTATTTTTTAATTAGGTACATGATTATGAGTGGCCATGGTTCCTTAACAAGAACTCGACCAAAAAATTCATGGTAACTTTTAAATTTTCTTCTGTGGGTGGAACGAGAAATGATACTGTATCTTTAAAAGCGCTACGATTTTATGTAGCATTGTGTACAAAGGTCCAAAAAGTAGGTATATACAATATGTTGTATTAAATTTTCATGGTCATTTACATTATACTGATTGTTTGGCAACAACGGGATAGCTACCATGTACCATATAGTATTTATTGAGTTCCCGTTACTGCGTGATCCAATAGCGCCGAAATAAATATAAATATATATAAATATCGGACACCATCACACACATTGATCCGATTCCGAGGTAAGTAGCTTAGGCACTTTTGTTACGGATATCAGAAACAATGAAGGGAATACAAATATGTACATAATATAAATAGAAAACACCCAGACACAGACAAACATAATTGTTAATCACAAAAATGTATCTCCTGGGTGGGGATCGAATCCACGACTCTCGGCGCAATAGTTAATAATTAATAAATATAATATTGCTAGCAATCTTGTGATTATTAATCAATCTAATGTGTATATATTTTATAATATGTAAAATGTATAGTAAGTCATGTTAGTCTAGTGGCGTTGTCGATAGACTGTGGATTTTATTATCTTTTTTTATTTCTATATTATATATAACGTTATTACATAATGCTATCTAATATCTTGTCACATTTAAAAACATAGCTCGTGATGGATGATTCATTTTTAAAATCATTTGAGTGGTTCTTGAATTTTGATTCTTCTGAAGTATTTCTTGAAGTAATAGTCTAAATAGTTTTATTTATTAGTTTAATAGTCAAGTATTAGGTACCTTACTTATATGGTTCAGAATTACCGAGATCGCTTTCTTTACTCACATCCTTCATATTGAACCTTTTATCTGATTACGGCTAAGGAGGGTAACTTTATTCACCAAAACGTTCGTTTTAGATTTCTTTTTAATTCAATATAAACCTACCTACTCTCACGAGTACCTACTCGTGACAGTCTTTCGGGACAAAGAATCAAGTAATATACTTACGTATAACTTGTGAATGGGATCTACCAGAGAAAGCTCGTTCAAGTAACAAACCTACATAAGTCTACGTTAGTCGTGATGAGGGTAATGTTATCTGCCCTTTGGTATCTCTCAACAAATTAACGAAGAGTAAATGGGAGGGGTGGTTGACATCTGAAATGCTGCTGCTTTAAAATTATATTGTACAAAACTTAATAAAGTAAACGGACGCAATAAATTCAATCTGAATCCTGAATATGGCATTATATTGTTTAACGTTTTTCTACTGGTTACTGGTAACCGGTTCTATTGGTAGTTTGAAATATATTTTTTGGGTGTAGTTAATATATTTAAATGTAACGTATAAATCTTATGCAACAAAGAAGCACAGTTTTCGAAAGAATTTTATGTCAATCAATCGATAGAACAAATGCAACAAAGAAGCAAAACTTTCGAATGAAATGGCAAATGACTTTGACTGTATAATATGTAAACTCTGTTTTTTTTTGTAAGTGGGTATAAATACATAATATCAGAAGAATTATGTCATTAAAATATTCAAAGATTTTTTTATTTACTACCTATTTTCCCGTGACGTCGACAGCATAAATTATAGCCTATGGCACCCACGTGTGATCTACCAACCGTAGGCGAAAGATTTTTTTTTTTAAATCGGTCTAGTAGTTTCGGGAACTATTCAACGTAAACAAATAAATAAATAAATCCTTCCTCTTTATATGTGATATTTTTACCGGCGAGTGCTGCGAGAGCTGCCAGCGAAAGGAGGGCTGAGCGGCTGCGTGCCATGTCAGCAGGGCATGTCGCGCGCCACGCGCCGCGTCATCGCCGCGACATCCGCGACACGGCCCGCAAACCACCTGTGCACCGCCACCTGTGTCCAAATTTCTTATTAGATGAACAGCTGGTGACAAAAAGTGCAAGAGCTTTCTAAAGGTTGATATTTCAGCATGTTGAAGTAATAATGGTATACATAATTCAATACCCACTGCAGAGGTGAGGCGCTGGAACACCTGCTGGCGTCGGCGCGATATAAACTTCTACTTTGTTCTATTATTTAAAAGTCTGAGTATTTTATATAAACTAACTACTAATTATTTAGCGAGAATTTAACATTCCGAAACTCTTTTTCAGAACTTCTTTTAATACTGTGACGGGTTCGATCACAGGGTTCGATGCTTAAGCAGATGAATAAAAGGCTGACTAAGCTCCAGTCGAGCTAAGATGGAAAAAAAAAAATTAGGGGCCGGGAGTAGTCAATTTTGGGTGAAAATTATTTAAAATGACCATTTTGATATCATGATTTGTCCATACGCAATATCTAACAAAATATTATCTTGTTTCAAGCAATGAGAGTTTACTATAGTAAAATGGTACTTAACCTAAAATAATATATATAGTTTTATGTACATTATTACAAGTATAAAGTAAATACATTTATATTTCAGACCGAAACCGGATTTTGTCCATACAAAATAATTTGTCCTGTTCATGAATAGCGTTACAAAAGTACATTTTAAAAAAAAGCTTTTAATTATAATGAAATATATAGTTATTTTTTGTAAAGATAATATATTTAGTTATAGTTATTGGGTTAAATTATCTTAATTTACTTATTTTGTAAATAAATACTTGTTTCCAAACAAATGTCCATTACTTTGTTCTTTTTTGTTATTCCTTTTTTCTCACGACCTAATTTAGTAATATTTGACGTTTATCAAATGACAACACTCACTCTTTAAGGAGGCAATCAGATACCGGAAGCGATACTGTATCGGCCATTTTGTTATCCTATGTCAAAGTGAGTGAAAGCGTGCTTTTGTGTCGGTGAAAGAAATTACAATTTTAAATCTTCATTTTTGTTGTCTTCTATTTATCTGTACAGGTAAGAGAATACTTAGATATATAATTTATTTATAATCATGGAGTATCTTAATGATTATTTAAAAGCAAGGTTTTTTAACTTACTGATATTCTTGTTTGACTTAAGATATTTGAGGTTATGTTCCAAGCAGAGAGTTTGTTCATTTTTGTTAAGATTTTGTTACATTTTTTGTCACGTCACAAAAATGATATAACAAAAATGAACTAAAGACGCATTCACAAGTCTAATTTTGGTTTTTATTATAGGAGTATATTAATTTAAACCAAACCCGTCCATAATTTTTTTCTTTCAATATTTACACGTCTTAAAATCTCGAATATCGAACCCGCACCCCTGGAATCCGGCCCAATGCTCTAAGCTACCGGGAAATGGTTCGAATCCTGCCCAAGAAGGTCTGAGACCAAACTTGTATTTTTTTAGTACAAAATTTTATTTAAATCGTAACCTCCTTCTTTTGCATTCGGGTATAAATAATCAGTTAAGAGCAGTTACCGTAAATTTTTTGTAAAATAAATGACTGAAAGGAAATAAATAAAACTGGAAATACGGAGAAGACAACTTCTCAATATTTTTCTTTTTAGAATGCCGATGACTGCAGCTGAACGTCAGCGACTATATAGACAACGTTTAAGAGATCAGAATCCTCAAAAATATGAAGAATTAAGATTAAAAAATTTAAATAGAATCAAGAAGAAATATGTGAAAGTTTCTAAACTAACAGAAAATCAAAAATTGATACAAAGGAAGAACTGGAGAAAGCTTAAGAATAATCAAAAGAAAAAACGAGATTCACAAGAGGAAACCAGAAAGAGTTCAAAAGAATATCAGCGTTACTATAAACGGCTGAAGAAAGAAAATGAAAAACAAAAAATAATAATCAATGAGCAAAGAAAAAAGATACAAGCACTTCAAAAGAAAGTCTATCGACAAAAAATTCTCCTTGATTGCCAAATATCGGCAAAAGACTCAGAACAGTCGCATCCTAGTAATCAAGAACGACCACTGACACCAAATTCTCAATCAAACGAAATTATCCAAACCATGACTACTCTTTCAGAGCAGGACAAAAATAAAGTAAAAAAAGTGATACTAGAAAAATATGTTATAACAGAAGCAATCAAGCAAGAATACAGGAAAAATAAAAACATAAAAAAAGTTTTGAGAAATATCTTTACATCTCAGATTGTACAAAAGTATAAAATGGTATCAAATTTTCGACGAGTCATAGGTTTAAAAAGCAGAATCCGCAATCTTTCAAAATATGTTGTTCCTAAACGAAGCAGCAAATTAGTAAAAAAAATTCGACGATTTTACCTGCGCGATGATGTCAGTCGAGCTTCAGCCGGGAAAAAAGAAACTAAGACCTTTAAAAAACAGAAACATCAAAAACGGTATCTCCTCGATACTATGTCAAATTTACACAAAAAGTTTAAGGAAGAAACTGGTATCAAAGCTTCTGTCAACACATTCCGCAGACATAGGCCTTTTTATGTGGTCAAACCACGTCTCTCAGACCGTGAAACATGTGTTTGCAAAATTCACGCAAATATTGAATTTAAATTCCAAGCACTACAAAAGATAAAGGTTTTGGATCCAGGTTTAAAATTAATGGATATATTACAAGAGATAGTGTGCGATATAAAATCTAAGGAATGTATGTATTCAGAATGCGACACACTTTAGCGACGGTACTTTAAAGTGATACACCTATTTGTTGTTGCTCCCGAGTTATAATTTATAAAATTGTGTCAAATATTTAAATAGTCAAATAAATTTAACATCAAATTATTCTATATAAAAAGTGCTATTCAAATTTCTATATTGTGGATTCTGGAGTGCTGTGAAACTGGCAAATAACAGTAAAATAATTACGTTTACGTGGGTATAGAAAAGTGAATAACAGGTTATTCGTGCGCTTGACAATGGAATTGAACTTGGAAACACATTAGCGACACCGGTAAAGCGAATTATTGAGAACTTGCCATATAATCGACAATTTTATCGCCTTATCTAAAGTTTCAGTGGCGAAACGTACAGACTTTTACGAGGCAACCAACGGGTATCAGTTCGAACCTGGGTAGCTGTGTCTTTTTTTAATTGTTCCGGAAAGGCATACGGATTTTTACCTATAAGACCAGCGATTCAAAGTTCCATACCCGGCACTTAAACACATTTTTTGTTTTTTATATACCCTATCGTTCTGGAATCATATTTCAACAATATTGAGGAATAATAATAGCGGTACCTCCTTAGGCGTAAATTTACCCATAAGAGAATAAGAATGGGCTCGACCGGGGATAGGAGGGATTTGTGGAGAGAAAAGGGATTGTGCTCGTCGGGTTGTGGAGAAAGCGTTAGAGAAAAGCAATCAATTTTGAAGTGTTCTAAATGTAAGGATATCTATTGTTACTCTTGTGTAAAAATTGCAAACAAAAAATTCGAAAGTTTAAAGGAATTTGAGAAGAGGAAGTGGGTTTGCCCGGATTGTCAGGGCGCATTACGCAAAGGAGGAGACAATTCTTCAACACCAGCGAGAAGTGAGCCTGTTCATTGTGAATCCGAATATGACAATATAACCATTCGTAGGAAAGAGCCCTCTATATTATCAAATAATATTACTATGGAAGAGGTTCGTGCTGCGATTGCCGGCGAGTTTGATAAGTTTAACATGAGTATTAAGGCGTTAATCAAAACTCAATTAAAACCTATTTCGGATGAGTTGACAACTCTTAGAACTTCGTTGGAATTTATTGAGACTCAATTCGAATTATACAAAAAGTCATCAGAAAATTTTAAGTCTGTGGCAGAGCACCTGCAAAAGGAAAATGACAATCTTCGTTCTACGGTTGAGGAACTTAATGGTAGACTTAGTCAAATGGAACAGCATGCTCGAGCACAAAATATAGAAATACAATGCGTTCCGGAGCACAAAAACGAGAATCTATTTTCAACAGTTATGCAGCTGAATAAAGTATTGGGATGTAATATTAAGGAGAATGACATTCATCATTGCACACGTACTGCCAAAATAAACACTGATAACCCAAGACCGCGATCCATAGTAGTTCAGTTTAGCTGCCCACGCGTGAGAGATACGTTCTTGGCATCAGCGGTGAAGTTTAACAAAGCTGTGACTAACCCGGAGGAAAAGCTGAACTCAACTCATCTAGGCTTGGGCGGGGCTAGGAGGCCAATTTATGTGGTCGAACATCTATCAACATCTAACAAAATTTTACATGCTAAAGCTCGAGCGAGGAGTAAAGAATTAGGATACAAGTTTGTTTGGGTAAAACAGGGTAAAATTTTTATGAGAAAAAGTGAGACTTCCGAATTTTTATTTATTCGTAATATCGAATCTCTAACAAAGTTAAAGTAATTGGTCATTCCTAGATTGTTCTCATTTTCTGAATTGTATTTTTCTCTTGTTTCGCATGTTCTTTGTATTGTTTTCTATCAAAAATGAATAAATTATCAATTTATTATCAAAATGTAAGAGGTCTCCGGACTAAGACACATGATGTTTTTTGTAACTTATTATGCAGTGATTACGATGTTATAATTATGACAGAGACTTGGTTAAACTCTAGTGTTTTAACCTCGGAATTCACTGACGATCGTTATAATGTTTATCGTAGAGACAGAGAAACTAGCGGTTATAATTGTAATAAGGACGGGGGTGGTGTTTTGGTGGCTGTTTCTAGAAGATTTGGATCATACAGAGTTGTACAGTATGAGTGCAAATGTGAGGACATTTGGATAGCTATTGAATTAAATAAAAAAGAGCGTCTGATATTGTGTGCTGTTTATTTGCCACCGCCGGTGAAAAGATGCATTTTAAAAGAATTCATAGATAACTGTAACAGAAACTTGGAGTCTATCAATAATGTCGTATTAGCAGGTGATTTCAATATGAGTTGTATTTCTTGGAATGAGACTTTTGCTTCTACATCTCTGTCCCCTGTACCTAACAACTCTCCCCTGGCAGAAAT